TGTGCAGTAAGCCTTCTAAGCCATTCTTTTATTTTACTATCACATTTAAGTGTCTGGTTTCTTGAGAAGTAAGTTTTCTCTATCTAGCTTGTCTCAGCGTACTCAGACATACCCACCTTTCTCTAGTATAGGAAATATATTATTATTTCATTTTTTCTCTTCTCTTCACCTGCAATGCTTATTCTCTGGATTTTGGCATCTCCAAAGGTCTTTTGGTGCCTACTTATCTATCTACCTACCTAATTTAATATCTTTATTGTTTTATGTTATCTTTCTAATATATTGTTTTCTGTTGCTTTTTGGGAGAGTTTATCAGGTCTGATCTTTTTGGGGGGCGGAAGGTAACTAGGTTTATTTTATTTATTTGTTTGTTTTACTTTAACGGAGGGCCTTGTGCATGCTAAGCACGCACTCTACCACTTGAGCTATACCCTCCCTCCTTATGAGGTCTGGTCTTCTAGCTCAGTTTTAATGAATGTTTTAGTTCCTTCTCTCTTGGTATTAGCCTCATCTTTGTTTCATTTATTAGGTTTTTCAGCCATATTTTTTACCTAGTTATTTTTCTAATGTCTTGTCCTTCATGTTACCAGTATCATTCTTATCTTTTTGAGGAGATTATACTTAGTAAAAAAAATTTTGTATATGTGTATTTTTTTTTCATTGAAGTATAGTCAGTTTGCAGCGTGTCAATTTCTGGTGTATAACATAATGCTTCAGTCATACATGAACAGACATATATTCATTTTCATATTCTTTTTCACCATGTTACTATAAGATATTGAATATAGTTCCCTGTACTATACAGTATAAACTTGTTAAATTCTTGATGTTTCTGTTCCTATAATTCTTCCCTTCCTCTGTTGTCTTGTGTGTAATCTTGCTCCCCACCCCTAGCCCCCAATTCACAGTGGCTGTATTCCTCAGATGGGTGGTTATTGTGGCTTCTGAACTCATAACCCCTGCAGAGCTTCAGCGATACTGTCTAGTGATGTGTAAGGGCTGAAGCTTAAGCCCTGGTTTGTGACCTTCTGGGTGAATCTAAAGAAATGACAAAGATGATCCTTAGGCTGGAAAACCCAAGTCATTATAGAACTGTTGTTACCTTGCTTGACTTCTTAAAAAATTCTCCCCTTTCCTTTTGAATTTTATTTTAAACTCTTTGCAAGAAGTGGCTTTGGGTTTAGATTTATAATTCATAAGCCCACAAGCTCT